AACATGGAACCCAAGGCTCAGATGGAGCTCTTTGGTGGGATTAGGGGAGAAGGAATGGAAGCGAAGCTGGTGGTTGCTTGCCATGGCCAGGGGCCATGGTCTCATCAAAAACATCTACCTGTAACTCATTCATACTGTGAGATCACCTGGTCCATCTTTAACATCATCATCACCATTATGTGCTCCTACCCGTGTGTCACTAGAGAATTTGAAAATTGAGATCTATAGGGGTGAAAGTGAGACTGTTCATCTAACTTTACATACTAAAGATAATGGATTTAAACACTCACTTGGGAGTCATGATAAGAACGGAGAAATCAAGCATTGGAGATAGCTTGTGGGAACGAGATACCAATGGGGATCTTTTTGCACAGGGCTGTGTGACATTATGAGACATCCTGAGGCTTAAGGGGAAAGCAGGATGCTTTAAGTCACATTGATGCTTAGAATGTGAATGAATATAGCCTTACATATCTTACTAAAATGAGACTATGCTGTGTTTTCTTTGCTTAACAAAAATGGTTGCAAACTTTTCTGCTTGAATGTATGCATTCCCTCCACATCCTGTATACATTTCTGGATAATCAAATTTAAGATGAAGAATCCATAAAAGGTAAGAATGAGCAAAAGTGACTACAGGGCGTAGCCAAATTACAATCTAATGATTCGTGAAAATCCCCCACTAAAGCTGAGCTGTTGGGGTGGTAACTCCCACTGCCAGTGAATTGCACGGAGGTCAGCTTTGCCCTGCGGGCACCCCTCTCTGTCAAGAGTCAGGCAGGAAGAACAAAGCTCAGATTGGAGCCTCCTCGTTCCATTGTTTGAAAGGATTTTTAGAAGGGAGAATATAAAGTGGAGATCAAGTGTTTCCTGTGTGGTACTCGCCGTTGGCAAAAGGTTTGGGCAGAATAGGCCTGTTTGAGCATTCTTTGTGTGTGTATGATGTGCCACCTAGTGGTCAAGTGAGCCTAACATTAATGAAAGGAAAAATGGTCTTTTGTCCCTTCTGTCCCCATATTCTCTACCACTTGGTTAAGCAGAGGTAGAGGTTTGATGCTGTAGGGTAACTATTATGTGGGGGAAAAAATTTGTTCTCTAAGAAACCATATGTTGAACACAGATTATTATGGAAGAAAAACACTGATATTATCGTAATTATTCAAACCAGAAGTCACAAATTGGCAGTGTATGTATGTGTTTTGTTTGACCCACAGAGTACTTTCTTCTGTTTTATTTTGAGGTGTAATTCACATACAGTATGGTGCACAAATCTTCACTGTACAGGGTGGTAAACTTACATTTGTACATTTTTATATATGTGTAACCTATGGAATCGTCACCCTGATCAAGATGTAGAAGTTTCCAGTCTCCCTTATCCCCCCTCCTGGTCAGTCCTCCCTCACAGGCAACCACTGTTCTGAACTCTTGTCACCATAGATGTGCAATGGCATCATTAGAGTGCATAGTTCGTCCAAAAAGGAGTCGTTTCCTCAGCAGTAACATTCTGCAGCCAAACAATGGCTCTTTCCTGGGTTTACTGTTTTTCAGAGTCCAAGTGTCCTATGTTCTCTCTCTCTCCCCAGTCTAAATTCCTGACACATTGTTTTTCTTACCAGGCTTCCCACTGAGACATATCCATTTAGTGCACTGATCACATTTCCTCAAGTCAGTTTTCAGAGAAATCCCATTATTTTTGGGCAGCATCTCAAAAGTAATCAGAGGTGCCACTGATTGTCGTGGCAAAGCCTATGAATTCTGATGCAGCGTTTCAGAAGTTTATGTGAATGCCGTGCTGTCAGCAACTGCTCTGACATCCTGATCAAATTAAGCCAGGCAGCAGCACCAGCCCTAGCATCATAATGGTGAGGGTTCTCAGCCTATAATCCAGCAAAGGCTAATTTATAATGAATAGTATAATGCAATCACTGTTGCTATTTATACAGGACCACTTTCTGTTCACATGAAACTAATGTTTGAGTGTCAAAATGTATAGTATGTCAAGAAGCAGAACTAGTTTTGAAATAAAATTATTATTCCAGAGCTTTTTTGTGTGTATTTATTTGGCTGCTAGATAAACAAACACACGGTCAATCAACAAACGTGCCTAGCAAACACGTTATTTCCAGGTGTTTTGTAAGGTGCTAGAAATAGAAAAGTAAAAGGTGTGTAAGTCCTCCCTCGCTGCCATGGAGTTGAGCCTTGTTTAGATCTGTTGTCTGTCCCCTGGCCTACAAACTGGTGTTTAAAGAGATCACTGCCTCTTTGGATAATAAACAAGGCAGGAATATAGGCATTATCCTAATTTAGTCCCTTTTAAAAATTACTTATATATTTTTTTCTAATTATCATGAATTCAGAAAATAGAAGAATGTAAAGAAGAAAACATAGAATTTCCTAATCCACCAAAGAAAACCTATAATGGCTTTAATTCCCTTCAAAGAATTATAATTCCTTCTCTCTCTCCCTCCCTCCCCATTTTGTGGAGCTAAGATGATACCATGTATTTTCCTCTATCATTAAAAACTCTTGAACCATGTTTAATACTTTGAATGACTTAATTTCTGGAATGGAAATGAAAACTAAATTTTTTAATTATTCCCTGTTATGGGACATTTTGATGGTTTGCTCTTTTTAAAATATTTATAGATATTTTATGTCTATGTATTTGAAATTAAGTCTCCGACTTCCTGCCATACTCAATGGCCAGAACTTCCAAAATAGTGTTAAATAATAGTGACAATACTAATTATCCATGCTTTGTTTCTGATTTTAAAGGAAGTAACCCTGGTGTTTGTTAACATACTGATTTGAGAGGTTTATAAATCATAGTGAGTCCTTTGAGTTCTAATGGTTAAACATCAACATCAGGGAGTTGAACATTACCAAATGTCTGTGCTGCCATTGAAATACCTAGGTTTGTACCAATTTGGCCTATGGATGTGATACATTATATTAATAGATTTACTAATATTAGTCCCCCTTTCCCAGAGTGCATACTACTATCTCATGGGGTATTATACTTTCGATGAATTGTTAAATTCAATTCCATCCTATTGTGTTTAGGATTTTAACATATGTTTATTATGTGCTGTTCTTTCAAGACAACTAGTATGGGTAGAGACAAACTCTTTCAGTTCATTCTAGTCTATAAATGGGGTTGCTGAAATTGAAGATGGAGAACTGTTTATGTCTATTTTTATTCTCCTTTTTTGTTTACCTCTTATTCTAACTGCAATAATTCTTTTTTCCTTTTGTGAATTCACAAAATAGTTTTCTTAATCTCCCTCCAACCACTCATCACACTGTTTCTTACATTAAAATTATCGATGTATTTGTCTTCTTACGTGAGTGGTCTAGGTCTCAAAGTAGAGAGTTTTCCATCCCTTACCCTTAGCCACCAAGTATTGTCCACCTGTCCTCTCCTGTAGAATCAGATTGTCCCCACACAGTGCTGCAGTGGCGGATGGCGGAAGTGTGCTTCGGTGAGTTTTCTTGTGAACACCCTTAGATCTCCAAACTAGCCTTGTGGTGAGCTGAGGAGGACAGCAGAGAAGTAGGAGTGATTCCAAAATTATGTTGGTGTCATGCTTCTCGGTGGCAGCAAAATGGGTGCAGAAGACACGAATCAGCTTCTGAAGGCTTAGGAGCAGACACGGGCAGGGACCAGAGCAAAGCACTAAAACCAGCCTTCTGCTGCTAATCTGCCCCCGGTGGCTGCTCCATTCTAGTTCTGATGGTGGATTACAAAGAGAACCAATTACTTCAAATAATTATTCCTAATTCAAGTACATATTCTTACATACTCTTAAAACTAAATGCATTCATTGTACTCTAATAATTTTTGTAAAAAAAAAAAATTCAATACTGATTTCAAGGCATCACTGCAAAATGAAATCTTTCAATTGTCAGTTCTTTCCCAGGGGGAGCCTTGCAAAATTAAGGACCCTCTAAATGGCTCCTTAACAGGTATAAGCCTAGGTCTCACTCATATTCTAACTTCTACTGTGCTTTGCGCTGTGCTAGGCATATGGTTTATACTTACCTAATGTTTTGGGGGTTAATCTTTTTTCTTGCAATATAATGTTATTGAATGGTTTTCTTCATGCTTATTTAAAGCGCAAAAGCAACTTCAAACACCATGGCCTTTTAACAAGTAGTTAGATGGAGAATCACCACCCTAAAAATTAATAAAAATTAATGGAAGAAATGAAAATGAAAGAAAAAAGTGAAGGGGAAACTATATGATCCAGCAATTCAACTTCTGGGTATATACCCAAAGAGATATTTGTACACCCATGCTCGTAGCAGCAGCATTTGCAATAGCCAAAAGGTGGAAGCAACCCAGTGTCTAGCAATGGATGGAAGGATAAACAAAATGTGATATATACTTATTATTCAGCCTTATAAAGGAGGGAAATTCTGACACATGCTGCAATGTGGATGAACCTCGAGGACATTATGCTAAGTGAAATAAGCCAGTCACGAAAGGACAAACACTGTCTGATTCTACTTATGTGAGGTACCTAAAGTAATCAAATTCATAGAAATGGAAAGTAGAATGGTGGTTACTAGGGGCAGATAGAATAGGGAATTATTGTTTAATGCGTACATGATTTCTGTTTTGTAAGATAAAAAGTGTTCTGAAGATGGATGGTGGTCATGGTTGCCCAACAGTGTGAATTTATTTAATGTCACTGACCTGTACACTTAAAAATAGTTAAGATGGTAAATTTTGTGTTATATGTATTTTACCACAATTTTTTAAAAAATGGATAGGGAAAAGTACACTGTTTGAGCTAGAACCCAGATGAAAGTCATGCCACCTGGGCAATATTTCAGGCAATGACTATTCTAAGTACCTGGTCAGCTTTCAAAGCATACTTCCTGGGAGGGAGCCGTTAGGACATACTGTTGACCTAGTGCTTCCGTGCAGTAACTAGAGTTCCTTGGAAAGCAAAGTGAAATGCTGTGTTCAATAATTACTTTCTTCTTTTTCTTAGGGTGTTAAATACCACATTATTTGAAAGCTGGGAGATCATTGGCCCTTTCCCTTCCTGGTGGGTTTTTAACCTACTGCTGCTGCTAATACAAGGGTTGAACTGCTTCTGGTCGTACTTGATTATAAAAATGGCTTGCAAAGCTGTTTCAAGAGGCAAGGTAAGCTACAACTCACATTTTTCAAAGGGGCCCAAAAAAATTTGGTGGTGGTGGTTGTTGTTTTTTTGGTTCCTCTGGATCAACTATTTGTCATTTCAGATTTCATCAAAACTGGTATTATTTCTTCAAAATTAAGCAAAACCGCCTAGAAACACAATGCAAATTTTCACTTTCTTCTCTTTAGTTCATTTAAGTCTTTAGTATTGCTGTGCTGATGATGATCTGCATGTGTAATGTTAGGCTGAATGATGATATATTATTTGTTGTGTTCTTTCCCTCTGTCTCCCTTGGTCTTTCTCTGATTGTATTTATATAGAACAGAAATTTAATAACTTCTTTTTATGAGAAGGGGTACTTGGTGCAATATACCTGTTTAAACAAACCTTTCTCTCCAATTGAAGAATAAATCCATTTATGACTTTTCTAACAAAATTTAGTTAAATCTTTTTGGTTAAAAATGGCTTCATCAGGCTGATTCAAATAAAGCTTCCTGAGCCTCAGCACCTCTGTGTAGAGCAGTGACTTTTCCAGATCGTTCTCTGTGACATTTTCTTACTTGTTTGTTCTCTTCCTTCTGCCACCCTGGAAGGCTGGGAAGTGGAACCCTTTACATGTAAGTTTCTCATACTCTCTCTATTCCTGTCCTGGGTGCCACTTGCCTGTTGGAGGGGCACTCAGATGCTTCGTTTCTGTGCATATTGTTCCGTCTGATCCATTGATTGGCACTGACGAGGGTCCATGCATGGTATCGTTGCCATTAGCTGCAAGGGATGCTAGGAACAGCTCTGTCAGTGCCCTTGTGTGTGGGCTTGTATTCTGCTAAATCTTGCAGGGCCTGACAGAGGAGAGGCATCTCTTTGATGGGTGTTTAACATGTTGGCTAGAAGACAGAAATAGACCAAAATGAAGCAGGGGAAATAGAACGAGCTGGGGACCTGGGGAGAGGATCGACACAGCGCAGAATGGGGGCCTGGACCTCAGCTGTTTGCCTGATCTGTCGGGGGCCAGAGGGCAGCCTTGACCACTTTGTCCTCATCTGGGTCAGCAGAACTGGCCTCTTCCACAGGGGAAGTCGGGCCATCCAGTCCTGATCTATGAAGCCAATTCTCAGTGTCAGCTCCAATATAAATCCTCCATATTTTGATCAGTTAATTGCTTAGAAGCTAAAGTTCATTTTTCCTCTGTGACCTCTCACTCTTTAAAATGAACACATATTTCTATTAAAAATTTTTCTTGTCTTCATTTAGTTACAGATTAAATCAGCACGCACAGTACTGTCACTATGATAATAACTAAAGATGCCAGGACACTGTCAATTAGGTTACTTGTGTCCTTATTGCATTGCTATTTCTACCAGGCATGTTGTTTTCTCTTCAACATGTTCCTTCCACTTTATGAAGAGATGATCATTAATTTCATTCCAGATCTCAGGCTTCAGAATATCTAAACTGCCCTAGCTGCTCTCACCTGGGACAGTAAGGTTCATCTTGGCCATGGGGTTTTTTCCTGTGGGTTATTTAGATACATTCTAAATTGTCCTTTCTTTGAAGATAATGTAAGTGTAGATTTTTTCAAGTGCAACTTAAAATAATCTTACTAAACATGCACACGTAAACTAATTACTCTCTGAAACTGGAGTTTTCTAGTAGCAGCTTAATTTGTGACTAATGGACTTACGAACATATTAGAGCTTTACTATAACCCTGTCTTTGTGACTGATGATTTTTAAATTAAAGTACTTTTGTCATCTAGTCATTTTGGTGTCTCAGTATCTATTTTTGGAGATGATCTATGTGAGTTCAGTCTCATCTCAAGGGGCACTGGAGGGGGGTTCATTTTTTATAATATTTGCTCCATCACTGGTTGGACTGGAGCAATAGTTCTCAGCTTTTGCTTTCCCCTATCCCTACCCACCTGAGGGAGATGACCTTCCCCACAGGAACGGTGGCTTCTCAAGTTGGGGTGGAGTCCAGGATTCTCAAGTTCAAACGTGGTGGTGGCACGGAGAGGATGTGATTTGGAAAAGTTCCCAGTTAATTCCGGTGTCCCTCCCAGGAGACTTTGCCAACACCCCTTGGAGAATCACAAGAGACCAGATTGGGGAAATTTCTATAAAGCCAGGCCACTAGGTCCCCTTTGTCACCCCATCTAAAAAATAAGTAAATGGTGCTCAGTTATAAATCTTAAGGCCTGCTGGGTAAAAATGCTTGCCATAATTTAGACTTATAAAGTAGGAAGTTCAAACTATTTTTATTTTAAAGGCAGTAGCAGATTTTCTTAATTTGCCCCAAAATTACTTCCTTGCTAGACAGTAGGATTTTTTCATCCTTTATGGTAATGTATAGATTTATAACCTGGTGCCTTATTTTGCCATCCTCATTACTTAATGAGATTGAGTGGAGCATTGAACAAACTTGGGAGAGATGAGAGTGAATTCCTGATCATCCAGTTGGTACATTTTCCTCGGGAAATATTTTAAGCTAGACCTTACCCAGCATGTTCTTAAAATGCCTCCTGCTGCCATTCGTTTATGTGACATATAAAACAAAATTCCTAACTAATTTTAGAAGACATAAAAGAAAAGCAAATTAAATCATAAAACAATGCATGACAGAGCCAAACAGGAATGATTTTGTTAGTGTTCTGAGCTGGCGGGTATTTCCATTAGTGCGGTGAGAGCTGACTCTAAATCATTCTCAAGGAGGATGTGCTCATCAGCAAGTAAACCGATCCATTTGTACCAAATTCCTATGCTGCCGTTCCAGTGGTACACGATGCCACTTTCTGGGTAAGGGTGGGATTGTGGTCTAGTGCGTCCTCAGCATCAAAAGGTACCTTAAAGAGGTCAAGTCCAGTCCTCTGTGATGCCTAAACCCACCACCTACATTCCTTCGTAACTGACTGTCACCCAAATTGCATCTCTGCAGCAAAAGGGAACTTACTGCTCTGGCCATGTTCTTATCTTCTTTGATCTTTTAGCAGTTGGATCTGTTTACCTTCATGTATGATTGCATATGCTTCTGAGTGTGCGATGCCTTGATGATTTCTTAGGAGCCGGTTACACTCACCTTCCTGTATCCCACAGGTGTCCAAGGATGACCGAAGTGATATTGAGTCTAGCTCAGATGAGGAGGACTCGGAGCCTCCAGGGAAGAACCCCCACACTGCGACAACCACCAACGGGACCAGTGGTACCAACGGGTATCTCCTGACCGGCCCTTGCTCCATGGATGATTAATTACCCAAAACTACAAGTCCCGAACAAAGTGAACTGTTTGTTCCTGGAAGTATTTAATAAGTTGCAAATGCAGTTGCTTTCATAATATCTCAGCACCCGAAACAAAATCGAAGCATTTTGAATAGTGCACTGCCATGTGTCCTGTCTGTGAATGAAGAAGTACCATTCTCTCCATGTAGGCATGCTGTATGTAATTGACACAAGGGAACAGTATTTGCATTTGTACTGTCTTAGGATATTATTTATTTTTTGTATTTGTTTGTAAATCTGTGGACAAAAGAGGGTTTCTTCACTCCTTTTCCTCTCTGGGTTCATGACAGCGAAGGAGATGCTCCATCTGCCTCTAGCCCTTTCTCTTGCTGTAGTCCAATGTGCTGTGAGCATCAGCTTGATTTGTCACTTAGAAGTAAGCAAATCCCAGTGCAAGATTCTCATACAGCTCCAAATAGGTTTGCTTTCTTTGTGTTACTGTGCCCATTTTGAAATTGCCTGTGCAGTCTCAGTGACCATTTAAACAGGATGAACTAGGGTTTTAATTGTCACTCTTCAAGGTCAACTGGCAGTTCAAATTAAAGAGGATGGTTATTGGAGGACTTTTTAAAAATTGTTTTGTATTAAATTGTTTTGGAATAGACTTCATTTATTGTGCACACAGCCAAGATTTTTTTCAGTGCGTGTGCTAGCAAGTTGGAGATTAACCTTGCAGGTTACAGTTGTTTTTTTTCCGCCCCCTCTAGTGATAAGGTCAGTGCTCTGACTCTGAAGGAAGTATTTGCTTAAGCTCATGGTTATAAACAAAGAAATCACTGTTAATATTGACAATTTGTCCTGTGTTCTGGGAATAACATAAAAAGTGTAACTGATTTCAACCAGGTCTTGCCACTACCCCTGTAATTGGTGCAGTCTTCTGTTATGTCATGGAAGAAAGAAGCTAAGTATATTTGGGGACCAAAAAAAAAAAGGAGTCTTTCAAGAGTTGGCAAAGATTACCTCCAGTGCAAAGCACTTTATAGCAACCAGCTTTTAAGAAAAAGCGCTATCTTGGCTGGGCGCGGTGACTCAGCCTGTAATCCTAGCACTCTGGGAGGCCGAGGCGGGCGGATTGTTTGAGCTCAGGAGTTCGAGACCAGCCTGAGCAAGAGCGAGACCCTGTCTCTACTAAAAAAAATAGAAAGAAATGATCCGGACAACTAAAAAAAATATATAGAAAAAAATTCGCCGGGCATGGTGGCGCATGCCTGTAGTCCCAGCTACTCGGGAGGCTGAGGCAGTAGGATGGCTTGAGCCCAGGAGTTTGAGGTTGCTGTGAGCTAGGCTAACGCCACAGCACTCACTCTAGCCAGGGCAATAGAGTGAGACTATGTCTCAAAAAAAAAAAAGAAAAAGCTCTATCTAGTATTAGATCTTGATGTTTTTATTTTGCTGAGCAAAATAAAGCCAATGGGAGAAAAATTGTTTTACCCTTTGCTTTTCCCCTTAAATATTACCCAGAATGACTTTCCTACTACTAGAAACTGAGTGTCATTGCACTCTGAGGCTTCTTTGCTTTGAAGACTTGTTTGGTTTCTGGGAATGTTTTTTCAAAAGAAGCTATTTCCAGGAAAACAAAAAAATTCTTTCAAACAACGGTTAATATCTGCAATTAGGAATATTACTGTAGTTTCCGTAAAGGCTCCTATATGGCAGTGTTATTTATTACAGAAAACCATACATAAGCCAAAGATTTTATCTCTTCTAACTTTCAGTAAGCGGGAATAAAAAGGGATTACAGATACTTATTTCATAAATCAAAAAGACCATCATCTAAAACAAGAGTCCAAAACAAAAATGCTGTACTATAAATGTGTGAATCAGGGCACAGCAAAGACAGTAGCAAAATACTAGAGAGTGCCTGTCCTGCTGAGAGCCATTCACATTCACTTTGATTATTTGAAAAAATTAAAGCTCTGTGCCCACAATTTGCAAACTGTGAGTTAATAGTTAAAAGAATGCTCCAAACAAAAACCTCTCACTGTAATAATTGTATCTCCCCCCACCTATTTATGAGATAGTATGTTTTCGGTATGGTCCATAGTAATAATTGAAGAGGCTTGGAAATTGAGAAAGCAGTGCAACTAATTCTGTTTGTAGGGCCTTATTATTTTATTTCACAAAACAGGCAAATGTCTAGGAGTGTAATTTGTGGATGGTTAATTTGTAAGATCAGTCATAAAACACCAAAAGTACTTGTTGTCGTCAGAACATCAGCTAAAATGCAGGTATATAAAAAATAACACTAAGCATATTATAGCTGAAAATTTTGAGAAGGCGAAAGTTTCTTAACTAAAATACGGAACATACTCACCCTTGCTTTAGTGTCTGGGGCAAGTCTTCTTGACGGATGAATCCAGCTGGAGAAACACAGAGTCTCAAGTAACACTCTCTAGCCCAGAAGAATAATTTCAAGAAGATCAGCTTAAAGTTTAGATAAGGTGCGTAAAATGAAGTAAATCGAGTCTGTCCTTAGCAAAGGCAAATCTAAATAATCTTGTTTTTCCCAGAAGTCACTTAGAAAGAGGACTGGGAATACTCAGCGCCTCTCTAACAGATGGCGTCCACTTTGACAGTCCTCTACCTATCTATAGATTTTTATTTCATTTTACATTTTAGGACAAAGAGTTGTTTTGGGCTCTTCAGAATTGAGTTTGTAGGCTTTTTGTGGTGTAGAATAATATATGTCTGTCTACAGCTTTCGTGGCAGCCTGATAAGGCTGAGAGAGAAGAAATATGTCATTGCATCTTCCCACGTGCCAGGCGCTGTAGCTTTGGAAGTATGTTTTGTAAATTCAACTATAGGTTAGGGGGAATATTGTTTCTCTTTAATTAACTTAGCCTGTGTCGATATCTCCTTCCTCCTCGTCACATTCAAACCTTCCCAGGATACAAAAGGGTATGTAGAAAGGACTCTAGAAAAAGTAATATTTTATTCTCCAATGTTATAGCTTTTATAGATCTCTTAGTAGGGGGAAAAAGTAGAAAATCAAGTAGAATTTGGCCTCAGGTCAATAAATGATATAAAAATGTGTGATCTATGTATGTGTATGTTTCTCCAAAGATGTGAGAAAACCAAAATATCACCAACTCATCTTTATCTATGTTCTTTTCACGAAAACCATCCACCATGTGTAATCGAAACTTCCCTCCTCCTTTGTCAGCCCCCTGTCTGTGTTCCTACACAGCTGAGAGGGGTAGAATCTTTTCACCCTCTTAGCCACAGAGCTAAATATGGCAGAGTGCAGGTCATAGAGCATCTGAGGTCAGCATGTAAGCCAAATACAGTTCACCTTTCTAAATTCAGTCCTATGGATGTTGAGAGTAGGGGAGCAACTAACAGTATTTTGGATTATTCAAGGGTATGTTGTAAAAATGCAAATGATTGCCGCTTCACCCCAGGGTTTTTTTTAATATCGTACTCCTGCCAGGCTGCCCCAGATGATGTCCTGATGAAGTTGAATAAGGCAGAAATGTAGGGGGAAAGCAGGCTAAGATCAAATCACCATTAGTCAAAATGGTGGGTGACCTGCCAGATATCCAATTCTGTTGCCAAACTTTCCATTCTGAGTATTTGATAGAGTTTGAATTTGAGCAAACTGAATACCTTCATCCTAGGTAGAAAGGGTCTGAATCTTCCACTTTGTATTCAAACCTCACTGTTACTTGGGATAAGTCAAAAGTGAAATTTCATTTCGGTTTAGTCTTTGCTGAAGCGTCCCAAAAGCAGAGAGCGCTTTATGGACACCAATGATTGTTCCCAATCTGTTCATGATTTTGCATTAAAGATTGTTTTTATTTGCTTTCTTGGAAATATTAATGCCAAAGTTGCCTGAATATTCGAGTATTTTTCTTAATTCGAAGTATACGGAATAATTCCAAAGGTATTAAAAGACTGTTTATCATTATGTATGGTTATGTCATTATATCCAGAGAGGCTTCAAGAAATCCTTTGGAAATAAAGGGTTAAAGTTTACATTTCATGTTGTATTTAAGGTCTTAAGGTTCTAATTAGCTTACTTTTTTCCCCCCCTTGTCTTCGGCTGATTTCTGCTTTATAGATAAACAATAATAGCCCTGAAATATTTCTGACATCCAAGTTAGATCAAAGTCAGCCTGCTGAGAAATTGTTCACATTGCACTTTGTTTCTAAGTTATTTTTGTAAGGAAAGAGAAAATGCAGTGAGTTCTAGTTACTGCACTTGCTGTGTAGCTTGTTGTCCATGAAGGAATAATCAGAAACGGTTCTCAAAATGCAGCAAAATATTTTTTAAATGGAGATATCACTGTCCCCAGAGTCAGTTTGGGTTTCTCTTGGTGAAATGGAAATTGTGCCATTCTCAGATTACCCCGTGATTAGCACTGGTTCACCAACCACATTTCAGTTCCTCACAGCAATAGGCCAGAAAAGGGCCCTGTGGTTTGCCTTCGTGTGCACTGCCCCTTTCCTCCCGTAGGGGGCACTCAGTACATGCTGAGGAGGCCTGTCCACTCTGCTGTTGGAACTCCTCTAGCAAATACTCTGAGATAGCATACCTGGTACTTGTTGTCATGGAGAAAATTATATTAGAGAACATAAAACACCGTAAGTACTGGTAAAAAGATCTGTAGACACCCAAAGGAGAACCTTATCCAGGTATTTCCAACTTGAATTCAACCCAACGCCTTGGAAAGGTATGTTTTACCAAATGGCCATGTGCTAAGACCCCGTCAGATCAAAGACATAAGGAAGTCCCTGCAGCCAGATAGCATATGATGTCTCCACAAAACTAGACATTCTCCAGTTGCCCAGGAAGTGATGGTAGAGGACCGTTAGCCTAAGATTTATCTTATCTTTCACTCACTCACATTCCTTTCAGCCTCCTGGAACTCTTGATAAAAGGAAGCCAGATGTTACCATTTTTCTGCTCAATTTACCAATAGCCTTTGGATCAGTTGTGTACCCACACTTCTCTACCTGATTCTGTTTTTCTGAAAAAAGTATTGTGCCCGTGTGTGTGTGTTTTCCTTAACACAGGTCCGTGAAAACTTGGCTTCCTATTTTGGTACATATTGCATGGCCTAGAAACCAGGGAAAGACAGCTGTTGATACAGTTTCTATGTTCAGTGAAAAATTAGATTTCATTTAGATAATTTTTTCTTTTTTATATACAGTAATTTTTTAAAACTGTCATTGTAAAATTGCCCTTTAAAAATTAGGGATTGTTAACAATTAGCTGCAAAAAAGAAATTAGCTCTGTGATAGGAACAGTTATGTGATGATCTGGAACTTTAACTTAGAGCTTCATTAATTTAAGAGTGGGGGGAACCCTCCAAGTTTGATTTCCCAAACTTCCTTACGCTCCTGATTTTCATGCACTCTGTGTGCCCACACAGTCATTTACCTCCACAGCCGTTTGTTGTCATGGGAGGGGGTGGTGGTTGGTTTTTGGATTTGATTTTTTTCAACTTGCTGTGAGAAATAGGATAGGTGACAAAACCTTACTTGTTTTCTTAAGACAATTCTGTGCTTGGGCATCTCTGTCACAAATGGAATGATATACTGTTAGCCAATTAGAATT